GAACTCATTAGCATAATAGGCCACACCCAACAGCAGAAACTCATTAGGATTGGCTACGTTAGGGGTGTGTGGCCTAACATGCAAAGGAGTTCCTGCTACAAAAAAAGCCCTGGACCGTTTTGACAACAAACAAGGTAAACAGAATAACAAGCAAAAGGTGGGTGTGGCTAGATAACCACACTTCTGGTAACATGGGGGTGTGGCCTAATGTGCTAATGAGCTGTGCTGTCAGGGGTGTAGCCCAATATGGTAATGAGTTCCTGCTGTTGGGTGTGGCCTATTATGCTAATGAGTTCCTGCTGGGCTTTTTCTGCAAAAAGAGCCCTGCATAGTAGGATTGTACTTAGGGCAACAGACAGCAACAGCAATATGCAGTAGTATAGACAACAGTCCCTGAACCTCTGCCTAAGTAGATTTCTAAACCACTAAAGGCTGCCAACCTCCAGGTGGCAACAACATATACAAAAGACAGGAATCTCAAGGAAAACTACACCAAATGCAAATTGGGATGCTGGAAACACTTAATACAGTCTCTAACATCGCCCTAAAGCTGTGTAATACTTTCACTGAAGATCCAGTATCCCAGAAGAAGCTGGTCACTGTAGCATATCCTCTTACAGGTTCGCCAGCTGTCAAATTTTCCCATTTCACTAGGGCTTTATCAAAGCGGCGACCTTCTATTTGTTCCCCTGCTTAAGATGGCCTGCTTGACATCTACTACAGCCTGCTCCTTTTTAATGTGGCTCCCACCTCACGGAAGAAGCTCCCTGAGATGGTGAGGTGGACACCATCTTTAGAAGTTTTCAAGAGGTGCTGTAAGTAAGTAGGGTTGCTAGCTGTCCTCCAACAGTGCCCAGGAGCTTTCTGGGGTGGGGCATAGAGATCTGGGAAGTTCCTAGAACATTTCCATGATGACATGACATCACATCTGGGTTCATAAGAGTAAGTGGAATTGCAGCAACACCACTTTTTTCTTTCATTTTGCTTCCTCTGCTCCACTAGGGAGCAGTGGAAGCCTTGAGTCCAAGATCAGAAGATCTCCTGCCATTTTTGTTGTTCAGTCGAACAGTCGAGTCCGACTCTCCATGGACCAGATCACGCATAGCAAAGAGGATTGGATAAATAAATGGAGCAGAGGTCCATCAGTGACTATTACCCGCAAGGTATATATGGAACTCTATGTCTGGGGCAGTGCTTGGGGGGAAACAGTGGGTGGGCCTTGGATTTCTGGCCTCGCTGGTGGACCTTTTGATGGCACCTAGGGTTGCTAGATCCCCTTGTCGCTCCAGCGGAGGGATTTGGGGGGAATTCCAGGGGTGGGCCCAAAGCCCACCCCCAAGAGCTACCACCCACCTGGCCACCCCTTTCCCTCCCCTCCTGCCCAATTTAAAGGGCTTCAGCTGATCAGCGGGGACCATGTGACCCGCTGACCTGCTGGAGAGCCCTTTAAATCTAGCAGGAGGGAGGGAGAGGAGTGTTCACGGGCTGCATTCGCGGCTCACAAAAAGACCCTTTAAAAGGTCCTTTTGCAAACCACATGTGCGGCCCTCAACTGCCCCTCACCCTCCCTCCTGCTGGATTTAAAGGGCCCTCCAGCTGGTTAGTGGGCCATGTGGTCCCCACCAATCAGCTGAAGCCCTTTAAATTGGGCAAGAGGGGTGGCTGGGTGGGTGGTCATGCTTGGGGGCAGGGCTCAGGGTGGGGCTTCCCCTGCTGGGGAGGATTAAAGCCCCCAGAACCTGGGGAATCCCCGCCCGGCCCTGGGGGCTGATAACTCTAAGGGCACCTGGGTTTTGGCCGCTCTGTGACACACAATGTGAGACTGGATAAACCACAGCTTCTCTTATGTTCTTATGCTTAGGAGACCTGGGCCCCCTATTTGTGAGGTCTTTTGATGAGATTTAAGCTGCAGATATTTTCTTGGGATTTTACCTTATTTTGTATGTTTTTAAAATTTGGGTCGTAAAGGAAAGGCAGGATATACATAAGTAAATAAGTACTTCAGTGTTCAAAATAAAGGCATGAAACCAGTAAGAAGAAGAAGTAGAGATTGGATTTATACCCCGCCCTTCACTCGGAGTCTCAGAGCCGCTTACAATCTCCTTTCCCTTCCCCTCCACACAACAGACAACCTGTGAGGTAGGTGGAGCTGAGAGAGCTCTGACAGAAACTGCTCTTTTTCAAGGACAGCTCTTATCAGAACTATGGCTTGGCCAAGGTCATCCAGCAGCTGCAAGTGGAGGAGTGGGGAATCAAACCCAGTTCTCCCAGATTAGAGTCCGCGCACTTAACCGCTACACCAAACTGCCTCTCCCAAGTGTCCTCACTGCTAGTGAAACTGTCTAGCAGCACTGTTCCATGCTGGCTTTTTGCTGTATAATATTTGACAGCTATTTACTTCATGTAGACCCCACCTTTCTCCCCAATGAGGACCCAAGGCAGCATACATCTTTCTCCTGCCCTCCATTTTATCCTAACAACAACTCTGTCTGTGAGGTAGGTTAGGCTTAAGAGAGGGTGGCTGCCCCAAGGTCACCCCGCAAGCTTTTCGGGGCGGGGGTCTTCAAAGCTGGTTCTCTCAGATTCTAGTCTGACACTCTAGTCCCTCAGATTCTAGTCTCTCTAGTGTGTTTGCCAAATGGATTAACATTGTGAGTGTCCTTATACTAATAGCGACAGGCGCCTCCTGCGTGCGGATATCTAAATCCGCACATCGGGGGCACCTGGGGGGGAGGGAGATTTTCGTGCACATTTGGGGCGATCCCCAGGTGTGCAAAAAAATCTGAAAAGTGTAAAAAAAATATGGGGGATATTTAAATCCCCCCAAAAGTAACAGAACGTCCCCTGCGCATGCGCAGGGAACGCTATGCGAACTGCCTCGCCGCCACTGCCGCCGCCGCTGCCACAGGGGGATGGGAGGGCAGCAGAAGGCTTGGCGGGCGGGCAGGGACCGGCGAGGGCCGGCGGGCACCAG